ATAATTTCGTTGCTGCTGCCATTAAACTAGAATTTATTAATATCCGGGATAAATTGTACGACGTAATGACAAGCATAATTACTGCTGCTACAGCTACTATCTGGAAACACACAACATCTTGGCTTTCTCTATAAGAGTTACTCGGTAATGGAATGTTGGATCATAATGAAATGAGGTGAAGAATTCAATACTTTTCACTATTGTAGTTAACAAATGTTTTCAAAATTTGCTTGAATGTCATTATTGGTTTCTTGAGCAACATCATCATCAATTCAATAAACAATGAAAATGAATTATATTTGCACTAATTTGCAAATAATTTCCAAACCCATTTCAATTATGTAATAAATTAATAAGAAAATTATGTGTAAAAAAATTGAAAAAGATATAATGAAAGAAAGAACTGGACAGATTAATTCATGAAATAAAGTAGGTACTTTAATTCCAACTTAATCACTTTAGATACTATTCTATGGCATTTTGTGTATAAAAAAAATCAAGCTTCTGACATTAAAGGAGAATGCTTCTTATGAAAGTATCATTAATTTTTTTTTTTAATTTATAGTGTATTCAACATGTTTAATTTATTAAACAAAAATTTTGAATTGCTTGGGTAAAGATTTGGTTTTACATTGCTTTTTGAGTAAAATATTTTTTGAAGGAAATTTATTATATAAGCATTTCAGTGATAGTATTGAAACCACAACTTAATATGCAATGTCAAAAGCTATTGCTAAGCAATGGATTAAGGAACTACATTTTTGCTTGGTTGAATTACTATCAAGAGCACACTTTCAGTTGAGGAAAATAAGTTTAATGTGGTTAAACGTAACATGACTGTCAATAAGGCACTTTTTATATTTCCAAGCAGTTTTTCATTCCCTTTAGTAGTTTGTAATACCAAATAGATTTTTGATCACTTTAGATAGATGAAAAATTTCTTTCTGAAGGCACTTTGAGATATGGAAGTAACTACATGATGTAATTAATATAATTTGCTTAGGTGTATGAGTTAAGTTTCCATTCTGGAGGTGATATTTGCTTTGCTGTATGTTTTGAAGGTATAAATGAATTGAACTTCAGATGCAGATAAAGACTTAAATCAATGAAACAGTTTATATAAAGAATATATTATATTTCTAAGGAACTTTTTCACGTAATTGATCATTTTATCATTTAACATATCATTTATCATATATTATATCATTTTATCAATTAACATTGTCTAAAGTCTATGTTTATTAGTATGTTTTTGAAAACATTCATTGTAAGACAATAAGTAAATATTTCCAATTTTTAAAGTCTTATTTTCCAATAATTAAATTAAAATTATTTCATAAAAGAGTAAAAATTTATTCACTAAACACTGAGTGAAGTAATTGCAGTTCTGTTTATTTGTTCATCATGAATTGAATTCTTCTGTTAGTTTTGTATAATGCTAATTTTCATCATACTAATATATTATAATTACACTACATATAAACACAACAATAATACACCATTTTATTTATGAACATGTCTATAAATGAATATTCACAAAACCAAAATTAGCAATGAAATTCATCATCCTCATCTACAGCAGGATAAGAAGCATGTGTCTGTTTAAGCTGACAAGTATCACAAGAATAATATTAATATTCTAGAAGTTTCCTGCATTTCCATCTGTTTCCTTTATCACTCTGTCCAGATGATTTGTGTTTCGGAGGAGCGTTTAGGAATCTTCTTTGCCTTTTAATAAGTTCCAGCCCTTTCTAGAGTCTATTCAACTTTCTTTGTTGTTTTGTTGTCTTTTTCATTGTTTTTCTGTGGATACAATTTATGAAGAAATCCAAAATGGTGGTGTTCCAAGGTCAAGATGTAAGATAATTGAAGATTTTAATTTAAACTATTTGACATCAAATAATTGAACAGGTATCAACATTCCAACAGTTCGAAAACTGGACCTTTCATTTTTGTTTCCTATTACTGATATGAATGTATGAAATAATGAGACATACCATTTTCCCCCGTTTTTCATTATGTATTCACGTTAAAAATTCATTAAAAATTGTTATATGTAACCAAGAAATTATTTAATGGTCTACAGAACCCCATTTATTGGGCAGATTGTAAATTTTCTACTATAAAAAAAATCTCTTCTATAGAAGTGAGGTTTTGTCTCACCAATTATATCAACGTGTGCATATGATTCATTTTAATAGTACATACAATTTTATTAACTTTTATAATATTCCATGCATTATTTACCAATTAAATCTTGCCGCTTTATGTTTTTTAAGAATCGTTCACGCATCTGTTGATTTTTGGGGAGCTTATGGAAGGGCATCCTCCAATAGGTTGAGTACCCTCTTACGGAACATTTACACATCTGCAAATAATACAATTAATTCTTTGTAGTAAGTCGTAAGAAAAGCAGATAATACTCATGGCTATTTTGTGCACGCACTACAACCAGCACCTTTCGCATAAATTTACATTGAAAATGCGCGCCAAAATGCAACAGCAGCGCCATTTGCACCAGGTCCGAGACCGGAAACAAATTTTGTCCCCCGCTTTTTAACATTTGAGTGAACTGGCTCTGGAGTTCGCACTGCAGCGACATGTAAGCTCCCGATTGGATGAACCGCAACAACTGATTTAGTCAAGTGCACGACTAAATAAATCGTACTGTGGAGAGTGTATTATTCTTTGATTGAAGTAGACCTTGGCAAGCAATGCGTGTACTTCTAGTTACTTTTGCTGTCAACAGAAATTAAAACTATTTGTGATCTTATTGTGTTACTAATGGAGGAGATTAATGTTTTAACGGAAAGCATTATCAAAATAGAAGCTGTAAGCATTTTCTGTGTATTTGTTGTGACGTGTTCTGACAATATGCAATAAGTCCAATGATTTAGAGTAACGATAATTCCATTTTTGTAAATTGGTCGATGCATTAGATCATTGCTACACCGATTGCCTTATGAAATGAATCTGTTTAAGTAATTTGCGAATGTCCTTGTGATCGAGGCTTGTGGTCTCAGAAATGTGCGTACCACTGAAGTGATTAATTTTATGAGGCAGGAGGTGTAATAATGACCTAATGTCATTAACCATTTTAAAAAATCGAAATAGAGTTACGAACACAACCCTTAACGGCTGTTGTGGGCCTGTCCAACACCACCTAGATTACAGCTAGTAGGTGTATTACCTAGATCACATCTAAGTTATCTTAATGGTGTTGGTCTGTGTAACCCATTTTTCATCCCTCTACCACCATGATTATTTTAGACTGAATTTGCTATTCTTAGAAGTTAAATTTTTGTACCGATTGTGGTGACTTATTGGGTATAGAGCTTGCATTATTCATTTCTGAGTTTGTGGTTTCATGAGTCTCAGAACAGCAGGCTCATAAGTTTTCTATAACTAGCATTATTATAAAAAATAGGTTTGTTGTGTTTGATTGTAGAGAAACATTAGTTGTCACAACAATGGCATATTATATACTATGTGTATATATACTGTTATATATACTATTATATTCTATGTGTATATGTAATATATATTATATTATATGTGTGTGTGTATATGTATGTATGTATATATATATATATATATACATATACACAACTACAAGACTACTGTGTTACTTAAGAGAGGTTGTGTGAGTTTATAAATTCAATAGAGGAAGACAACAGTACAGATTACTTGCTGCAAATGCATTCCAACAACAGATCTAAATAGGTGCTTGTAATTTTGTATCTACTACTTGATTTTCAAAATGTGGTGAAGGGTCTTCCAGACCTAGTGTAAAATTTATTTCAACCTATCTTTAAATGGAAACTCAACACATAATTTTTGTCTACCTTTCAAAATAATGATTTTCTTTAGAATTATAATAGATTTCATTGTCAGCCATTATTGAGTGAAAGAGAGATTTGTGATGTAAAGAAACTGTTGGGTCTGACGGACCCATTGTTGCCCATCATATACTTTTTTCTACAATGATAAGACATTTTATTACCACTTGATTTCTGGACAGTGTGTTACTGATAGCTTTATAGATAGCTTGTGTGTTACATACATATGTATCAGTAATATGATACTAGAGCTGAGTGAATAAGATGGATGTTAGAGGAAATGCTTAATGCATCGAGTGAACATGAAGATGCATAATGAGATTTCCATTTATACAGTGAGCACGATGCTGATAGTGAGGCAGAAGGTAAACAGTGAGATAGTGAATATTGATACCAATTACAGCTTGCACGTCTTGGTCTTTCCATATTAAATTAAGTCATTTTACCTCATCATCTCAGATTCAGACAAAATTTGACACAGGTAGTATGAATGAAGAATAAAAAAAACTATATATTTTGAATAAAATATTTCTAACAGTTTGTGAAGTGTTGCCAATTTTGTAAAGTATTACAAAATTGTGTTACCCGAAAAATTTTATATTGATATAGAACCTCTCTAAATGAAGATAGAGGGCTGGGAAAGTATCATTTTTCAGCTTTCTTTATGTCCTTTTGTATGATTTACAACTCAACAGTGCGTAGGTTTCAAAAGTTTTTCGAATCCGTATTTAAAATTTTGTTTTATCAAAATGCATTGCTTCAAACATTTTCTGAAAATTCTAAAACAATTCATATGTTTTTTTAACTACCCATGTAAGTATAAGTTTGTGATCATTATGGGTTCATGCCGGAATCTGTACTTCAAATGCATGATATGTACTTATGCTAGATTTCACTGATTTAATATGCATTTCGTTTCGAATTATAAGTGTTAATATAAACAAATTAATTTAGTGGTTTTTGTTGGTGAGTGTTTTATTGTTATTATTGTTAATAATATATTTTATTGTCAATTATCAATCCAAAATAACTGCACAATAGAAGGTCTTGAACACTGTTGAAATGAAAATTATTTTGTGATTGTGTGTCACTTTATATGTATGTGCCACAAATGTTAATGGTTTGCTCACTTTTAAATGATAGTTTTTGTGTTACCTCTAGGTTAAAGAAGAACCAGATGATGTGAATGAAGACAATTGCTGGAATGCCTTTGTGAGTAATATTATTATTAACGGCATAATCTAACCAGTCTTTTGTGGTAATTGGAAAGTAATTGGTGATGACATTTTGGAGATTAGAAGAAGTAGCCACCATTTTGGAGGTACAGATTTCTTCATCATTGAAGAGTGCTGAGGGATGGGTGGTAGTTGGAGTGCTGAGCTTGAATGCCTGATTGGAGCAGGAGAAAATTGAAGGGTCCACAGAAATGTGAATTTTATGGTGATCTAATTTAATGGTGTTATTGCTTTGAAAGGTGATTCTGGAGAGGTTTTAGCACTTAATAGCCTGGTAAGGAAAGGAACTACTATTTACATTACTGCCTCCAAAATGTCAAGGATATAAATGCCGAATTTTGCATTGTGGAGATTAAAAAGAAAGGAAAGGTGTTACTATCACTGAAAGAATGTAACAAGTTTTGCAATTAAAGGCACCATGAACCATCTCCAAAGTGTAATTTTTTTATTAGAATTTTGAAGATCTTGAATTTTTTTTTTCTTTCCTTTTCCTGTTTCTGCTAATTTAAATTTAATTGCATTCATCTGTATATTGAAAGGCGGCTAGTAAAGATAATGTTCTTCAGTGCATTCCTTTCAGTGATTTGAATGATATTTTTAAAATCGGCTACTACAATGAATTCTTTTCCCATTTTCTCGTTAATTTGGTTTTCAAATTGTGCCTTTTTTACAGTTCCATCACAATAGCACTTGCTATCACTAAAAGAGTAGTTTGCCTTTAAGTTCAATAAAAAGTCCATCAATTATGGACTCCCAATATTTGAACTATTAATGTGTGTAATGTTCTTAACTTATAATTTGGATATTTTCATAAGTTAGTATAAATAAATGAATTTTAAGTTTATATTAATTTTATCTTCAATACAATAGAAATATTTATTTTGGTTATATTGCTTGTAAATTTTAATTAAATAGTAATTTATTTTTTAGTTGTACAATATAGTTGAAATATATTGTTCATGCAGTATAATCACATCAGTGGCATAGCATATTGAGGGTTGCCTGCCCCGGGCAATAAAAAATGTCATAATAAATAACAATAATAATAATAATTATTATTATTATTATTATTATTTTGCATATGGGCCATTACTGACCACGCTACACGATTTAATGTGTGTAATTCTTCAGGATCAGCTTTTCAGCTGTATCCTAGGATTACGACAAGGTTGTTACGCCTTGAAGTATGCATTATGAGATGAATGGATGACGATGATAGGTGAAGGGACAATCACAAGTACGACCATGTCTTAAGCAGGACTCTAACCTGCAGCCTCCTCGGCACAGACGACAGCTGCCGCAACCGTCTGCGCCACGGGGCCGATTATTATTATTATTATTATTATTATTATTATTATTATTATTATTATTATTATTATTATTATAATTAATCTTGTAAAACTTAGAACCATTTCATTTCATATTTTTGTCCCACCTACGATTCGGACAGATTAAAATGAGCATGGAATCCTTCATTACTTATTTTGCAATTACTTTTTCAAATGAATTTATACGAATGGCATGTTGCTAAGTGTAGCACCTGGCAACACCGTCTGTACTGACTATTAGGATTTACTTGTATTTTATTTTGTGATTGGATTGTTTATGAATATTATTCAGTGAGATTGACTTCTATCCTATAAAAAGTATTGTTCAATATTGTAGTATAATATCACCTGCAAATTAGATTGCAGTACAGATAAGTCTCTTTAGGGAAGTCCTTGAGTTGGTTTTAAGGCTTACCAATCTGGCTATCTTGTCTATTAAGCAAGAGGTATGTGATGCTATAAATAGGGCAATAAAAAAAATTTTGGCTTGTAAAGAAGTAGACAAATAGTTTTAGTTGAAGAGAGAAGTTTTGTTTTTATTCTAACAGTTATATTATTTTTCATTAAAAATACAAATAGTAACTGTATCATTCTAGTTCTAATTGGAAGTAGAGTTATGTTTTATATTCAGTTCTCTAATAACTTAATCTTGTTGATCGTCAAAGTGTAATCATAAGTAGAGGGTGGATTTTGATGACCTAAGACGTCGTCAAAAATAAATAAAGTGCTCTTAAAAAAGTGTTAAAAAAAATTGATAAAAATCAGTTCAAATGAACCACTGAAGCTGTTGGGTATGTTAACTGATGTAATCTAGTCTTGTTCCTTTCGATTAAGTGAACTCAGCTTGCAAATATTTGGTTTGCAATGTTCTTTATCAAGAAATCTGTCTTAGTTATCTCGAAATCGGATGATCAGAACTGTTCTTGTCATAGGTGTCCCAGGAATCTTAGGTAGCATGCAACGGCTGACATTTCAATTTCTGAGCTACGAAATCAAATAGGCTACTCAGAAATGTAGTGGAAAGCATTTGATGCTTTTCATAAATATTATTTAAGGCAAGTAGCATTAAAATTATATTAAAATCGATGAAATCGGCAAAAAAAGCTTTAAAAATAATGGGAAAGGGTAAAAAATAACTTATTAGTCAAAATTGAAGAAAAATGAAAACAATTTCCTATTAAAAACGAGTCACTTCCTATTGTCTTAACTTAAAATTAATGTCTAGACTAAACGGTGTTGTTGTGAAGTGAAAATAAAAAAATGACAATTAAAATCCACCCCTATTCATAAGTGTTCTACATCTGTTATATCAATGCAAGAGGCACACCGGTACATGTAAGAATTTTTGTAATAAATGTGATCATATTGTAAACCATATATATACATGACTTTATTTGTAACCTGTACAATACACAATAATGATTGTACTTGCCAAAAAGTTCTTTAGAATTACTGTATATTTTAGTCTTTCAACTTGAAATACCTAGAGGAGGAGGTAGAAAGTTTTCCTTCACCCCGGGCGGCAGTCACCCACGTTATGCCACTGAATCACATTAACATTTTACATGCTCTAAAATCAAATTCAGATGTTTTTATGATTTTGGTCTGTTTGTCTGGAGTTATCTAAAAAATTGGCTACACTGATTTTGATGCGTGAAATAGAGGCCATTTGGCTCTAGGCTAATTTCTTTCAATTTGTATTTTATATTATATAAAAATATAAGTTTATTTGTTGCTTTTGGATGCAAAACTTTAATTTTGTTTTGATCTTAATGAAATTTTGTACATCTGCCCATCAAAATAATATAACTGTTCCTATCTACACGATATGTTGTAAAACTATCTTTGTTATTTTTTACCCCTTAAAGCAAATTTCACGTTGGCACTCATTCAGTTTGTGACATACAGATCAAAACCAGTGAGTAAATCTAATGAAGGTAATTCTATGTTTGTAAAAACCCATAAAATTATCATCAAAATGCATTTTGATTCATTTCAATAGCTCATTGAGAGTAATTCGAGTAATGAAGATCAAAATTGTTACTGGTAGCTGGTGTTGGGATTAATCAGCAGTGCTTAAGTTCACAGCTGCCCATAGCAACACAATCAAAGCAAAACAAAAAAATGTTGGGGTGGTGTGTTGTGGGTGGAGAAGGGGCATGGTGGAATGAAGCAAGATGAAATTGGATGACATGGAGCGGAGCAATTCATGGAATGACGGCAGTGAATTGTAGGTCGTATATATCACTGTTATATAATTTATTTCTCTGTTTAACGAAATAAAGGAATATGTTTTATATTTAATTGAAGTTTCTAAGACTAACGTCTTGTAATATATAACTTGTTCTTTTTTTTTTATGTGCAAAGGAAGAATATTTGTGTATAAAATAACCAAGTATCTCTGGATTTAATCTTTCCTAAAGACTTCGTGAGTTTCTTGCTTTCCATAAGAATTTCTAATTTAGGCAATGAATTTTGATCTATAAAGATCCATATGTTATTAATGAGTTTCAGACTGGAGTTGAATGTTGCTTAAATAACATGATTGAGGACCCTGTGATGGAGAAATGAGCTCATTAAGTATGCTTGATTTTATTTGAAAATTACAAAAATGTTCCATAATGTAAAAAGTAAGAGGAATGGGTAATTCTTAAAAGTCTGGAAATGCTGTGGAGTACTTTTGACTACTCATTTCCTGTCAAATAGGTAGCTTTCAAACAATTTGTATGCTGTTTCTTAGAGCTTTAGTTGGTACATTTTTTCACTTGATTTTTGTGATCCACTAAATCAAATGTTAGCATATCCAGGAAGATAGATAAACAAGGTTGACTTTAAATGATCGCACAGCAGATTTGGTCTGTAATATATCTAATTGCATCTTTGTTACTTTTTCCTTCCAGGACACCAAAATAAAAATCATTTATAGTTATTTCATGGAATTTGATGAAATCTATTTTCTTGATTACTGTTTCACGAATTTTTGTAAAATTCAAAATTGAAAAAGTCCATCTGTAGTTTGTGGGTTTCTCAGTATCCCTTGATTTATATATTGGATTATTATCCATCCTGCCTTTATTAACAATAAAAGATAATGACTTAATTAGATAATGCATAGAAAGTTAAATCCTTCCGTTGGGAATGTGATCAACCTCCATAGTTTTTATAGAATTCATGTAATTATGGATACTCAATAATTCTTCATTATTTGGAGCTAAAAAAAATAGAATCCATGAGAGTAGAATCTTAGTCTATTGTCTCCTGATCAAATTTTTCAGGTGTTTTAGGCCCAATTTTTACCAAGAATTTATTAAAATTATTTTCAATCCATTTATTATTATGCATCATCATCAGTTGCAGGGATTGGACTTGTACAGTCTGTTGCAGCTTCTGATAAGTGCTCCCTCCATTTTCTCAGTGGTCTTTCCTCATTTCTTCTCCCTTTCGGCTTGTAGTTCAAGGCTACTTTGACTACTCTGTCTTTGGACATTCTCTATATTCTTTAATAATGTTATTCACACTTCAAATTTTTAATTTGTTTTGAATTTGTTCACTTTTCTTGTGATCAAGAAGTGTATAACCTGCTAGGGTTTGAATAAACTTCATTATTCAGCTGATTCTAATCTAATTTAGTCTTTAGTTTGGGTCTCACATTCACTTCTGTATAACAGCTTGGGTAGGGCCATTGTTTTGTAGTTTCATTAGGGTTTCTTTTCTGACTTAATTTTTCAAGATTTAAGCTGTTGTGCCGCAGAAGTGTTTATATCTACTTAATTTTACTTGTAAATCATAATTTTTATAATATTATTGTTATTTTATAGCCAAGGTAATAAAATGCATGTACTTGTTCTAAAACTGGGTAATCAAGATGAGTCATGGGCTCCCGATATGCTATGCAAAATTTGTGTGTCAGTGCAAAACTGGAAAACTTAAGAGTTAAAAATTTGATGTACCTTTGGTATGATAATAGCTCAAAAATCATAATGACGATGATTATTATTTTTGTGCTGTAAACATCGAGAGGTTCAGTGGTCACAATAAAAAGAACTGGGAGCACCCTGATTTGGAATCAGTAAGGCGACTTGTGCCATGTGGACCTGACGTTCTCATACCAGTGTTCACCACACTACATGGAATTTCTGTGTCCAATTCAGAGTCTAGGGTGTAATTTAGGAGTTACTGCAGGGAGCCTTCAACGTGATTGTTCTGATTGCGGCATGAAAGGAAATCATGCAAACAATATTTTTCAAACAATTGATTGTGATTCTTTTCAGGCTGTAAATATAAATATATTGAATATATTATTACGTATTTCTAGTGTTTGATTTTGTATAAATACGCATATCTAGTTTTATTTAGCTAATGTTTTTAAACAATTTAAGAATACCCTGTACTCAATAAAATAAAAATGACCATTTTTTTATGCGAAAGAAAACCGGAAAACTGGATACTCAGAAACTGGAGCCAATTTACCAAAACCAATGTCATATGCCATTTGGAATCAAACATACCATATTAGCACAGATTATGTATCAAGAGTTTATGAAACTTATTCCCCTATAATTGCTACATAATGTTCTGTCTCTTTTTGTATATAGGACAGATACATGCTTCATTCCATTCATTCGGTATGTATCCTTCGTGCCAACATGCATTTATGAAAGCTAATAATCTTAGTTTAAATTGTAGGGTTGCATACTTAATTAGTTCTTAATTCAGGTCATCTGTACCTGCAGGTTTTGTACTTTGACTTGCTCCGAGTACTTCTTGAAGTTCTTGCAAATCAACATTGTCTGCATTGTCAATGGGTTCTAATACTACTGCATCAGTTTCATCATTTGTCCGTAGGTTTTTAAAATAATTTTACCATTCCTTTTCTGATATGGGAATCATTCTTAGAGTATCTCTCTCTTCTTTATTTAATTCCTTTATAATTTTATATGCATTATCTTGCCTCTCATTCAGTTTGTATTCTAAATATGTTATGTATCTCTTGTAGCATTGTCGTTTAATTTCTCAAACTTCATTGTTCACTAGAGTAGATTTACTCGTATATTCAATTTTTAAATCTAAACTACTTGTATTTTTAATGTCTTTATTTATGTACGCTTCTTTGTTTTCATGTATTAGTTGTTTAATTTCTTTGTCCCAAACTAAGCCGCCTCCTTGTATATTTCTTTTTCCTTTTACCTAATGATTTGAATGCAGCGTTGGTAAAGATCTGTTTGATCTCCATTCTTCATTTATGTTATGACAACTCTGTGGCAAATATTTCCATGGAACGTACCATAACTGCACAAATTTTGGTTTGGACTTGCTAGGAATGACATAGAATTTTAAAATACTCCGGGACGCACAGAAACATATTTTTGTTTTTGAGAATATTACAATAAAATTATGGTTGTAAAGCCGTTTGGATGTGCGGATATATTTTAATGTTTTCA